CATGATTTATTACTATATTTTGTAAAATCACGATTTATTATTATATTTTGTAAGATCATGTATTACAATTTTATATGTAAAATTTACAAAAAAAAGTAGAGAACTGTTAATGCCACTTTCTACTTTGTTAATGATACCCTTTATATTATTTTAACTGGTTTAAAATCTTAAAAATTTTATAAATAATATGCATGTATACCTATAAGTTATTTTAAGCTAATTTAAGGGGACATGTCCTATGACTGATAATAAATAAGGAAACACGTATCAAAATTTGGCTACTTATAATTCTTGACTCTAACTCTAACGAATTATGAATTGCAAATCTTCTGTTTCATCAATTTCTTCCATTTTGTCAGCATTTAACCCATGTAAATTCCGAATTTTATTTAAATTCGGTCGACCGTAGCCATATTTAAAAAGTGGATGCCTTTTACTGTTACGTGCTATAAGATCCGATGAATCGCCGTTAGAAATAATTGATTGCATTTTTTGCGTACTGAAGAATTTACTAGTATACATTTTATCTGGATGTTTTGGTTGTTTGAAATTTGGTTTAATTTCATCAGCATCTAAAAATTGTTTTTTAATTTCATTCGTTTCATCTGCATACTTTACGATATTATACCACTCATTAAGTTTATCATAAATACTACAAGCAGCAGGTCTTTTTTGTGGATTGGAATGCATGCATTGATTTGTCAATTCGATATAGCAATCAGGAGTTCCAGGAGCGAGTTCCGGTCGTGATCCATTAATAATATCTAAATGAATATCATTGAAAAGTTCACCATCAAAAGCTCTCTGTCCTGTTGATATTTCCGTCATGATAATGCCCAAAGCATAGATATCGGCAGAATCTGTGAACTCTTTACCTAATAAAACCTCAGGTGCAATATAAGGAATGACTCCATAAATTCCATCATCTTGGCTATTACAAGATCCAACATCCACAACAAATGCTTTATCTAAAGAATGCAGTAAAATATTTCCACCATGCAAATCTTGATGAGTATATGAATGATAATGCATTGATTGAAGTTGTGAAACAATGCTAATTAACAAATTCAATTTATTTTCCCATTTCATTTGAGATACAGAATGAAGATTTTTATTTAAAGAACCCAATTCCACGTAATCCATTACCAGGATAAAATGCCCAGAAGGATCTGATGACATTCTGAAACATCTCAACATTGGCAGACCTTCTAATTTAATCTCTGGATCTGATGCTCCATACATGGAAAATTGTACATCATTTAATCCAACTTCGCGATAAACGTGCACCTTTTAAAAAAATATATTAGCTGCATAATTTAAATGTTGAAATAAATTTTAAATAAAAATTACCTCATTCCAAGCTTTATTTGAATCATATGGATCATTAAATACCTTCAGTGCAACTGTCCTAGGTCCCACTATTTCTACATCATCTTCAATCTGCCACGTAGCATCATCAAACCAAGTTGCCTTGTATACAGTTGCAAATCCTCCTTCTCCAATTTTTACAAAATTATTAAGTTTACAATATGGAATCTGTTTGAACCTATAACTCCGGACATGCTCATAATCCTCACCATTGTTACGATCCCAGTTATAGTCACCATGAGAACATTCATATTTATATTTATATTTACCACAATCTTCGCAAAATTCATCATATCCACAATCTACTTCATAAATGCATAAATGCAATGAATGGTTCTCGTAAATATAAGGCTGGATATTTTCCAATAAGTCTGTTTTGTGTTTTATACGCGATAACTCACCTTCGTAAATGTCCATGATATCGAATTTGCTAGTATTATAGTTCGCAAATTATGATGATAAGAACACATATGAGTGTTGCTAAAAGAAAACCCGAAAATTTAAATATGATTTATATTTAAATTTTCGGGTTTTCTCATATATATTTAATAAGAATTTATACACAAACCATAAAAGGAAATTATAACAAAAAAACCTAACGTTAAATATGATGATAAATGACGATGATACGTACTGATATGGATCCACATATATCTTTATACCCTTTTATTATTATGAACTCTAACCCTAACTCCTAACTTAACCCTAAACAAATAAATATCATGAAATTTGTGTGTCGGAGCTAATGATTAGATGACATGTCTGCATAGCGGACATTTCAGCCAATCATTTGCTTTGACAAACAAATTTCATGATATTAATCGCTACATGACCATATACATATTGTTAACCGTTTTAAACTAAATGTTCAATTTCTTATGACGTTAACACTAAAATCATAACGTTCATATTCAAATCTGATGGCGCAACTTTGGCGTAGTCGCGTTTACATGAAGATTGCACTAGGCCATCAATAATACATAATAATGACTAATACTACAGTGATCGCAGAAAAAAATATGCGTATTTAAGAATGACTAAATTATTCTTCAATTTGGTTTAAACGAATGCTATAAATAGCAAGAATATCGAAATATTATCACACGGTGAACGATCATTTGCAGATATTTATTTCCGGATCTTTTTTGTTATACCGTTCAACAAATAAATAACATCTTATAATGAGTTATATATGATCATCTAATTGGCAGACCTAAGGTTTACGTGACACCATGGGAAAATATATTTTTTTAAAGAATTAGGTCTACGATAAATATGTAAATCCCGGATTTATTCTAGGAATGTCTTTTCTAGCTTCATATTGATAGCAATCTTTGACATAAAGATAAATCATTCAATTAGATCATAAGGGAGGGGGGTATTATGACGCAGGTGGGTATTGTGACGCACTCACGTTTTTTGATAATATCTCGTGATACACTGATTAGAATTGAGTAATTTTGGTATCATACGATTCCTCTTACTGAGATGAATCAAATGAT